AGATCCCAAAGGACAACCCAGAAACCTGAGTAGGCCCCCAGGGTGCTATCTGTAGCTTCCTCCTCTGCAGCGGCACGTGACCCTGAGGCTGCAAAGGAAACAGCTCGAAGACCGGGCCTTCAGGTGAAGTCTCTGTGTATATTGGGTTTATATTGGGGCAATTTACGGCTTATATTGGGGCAATTTAAGGTCTATATTGGGGCAATTTAAGGCTTATATTGGGGCAATTTAAGGTTTATATTGGGGTAATTTAAGGTCTATATTGGGGTAATTTAAGGTCTATATTGGGGTAATTTAAAGTCTATATTGGGGTAATTTAAGGTTTGTATTGGGGAAATTTAAGGTCTATACTGAGGTTATATTCTATTGGAATAATGGAACGTACTACATTATCGGGATGTTATATAGAAACTTACTGGCTCCCAGTAGGGAATAAGGGAATCATAAGGAATGTATAGGGATTTTTACTGTTTAAGGCCTTCAGATGGAGTCTCTGGGTTATATTAGGGGTTATATTGAGAACATTTCGGGATAATGGAAAATAAAATGGAAACTACTATTTAGGGTTATATAGGGTTATGTAGAGAATATATAGGGATAATGGAAAATAAAATGGAAACTACTATTTAAGGCCTTCAGGTGAAGTCTCTGGGCGTGGCGGCAGCTCTGCAGGGACTGCGTCCATCCAAGGTTTGGACTTCTTCTCGGCTCTGTAGGACACACGGTCGATTAGGTTCATATACGTGCCGTAGACTGCGTGCACCAAGTTCACGTCGCTTCGGCCCTGCTTCAGGGTAATTTAGAATGATTTCAATTCCCAATTTAAGGATTTTGTTTGGTACTATTCTCTTTTTAACCCACCATTTAGGGTGACCCAGCCTTTTGCTTTGAAGACATCGGGTTTTTCAGGCAGCGTCCGGTAAGATCTCGGTACGCAGCCTTCGGCCCGGCTTTGGTAGCATAGGATGCTACCAGGTAGATAGTCTCGGGCCTATCCCCCTTCCACATGAACCGTGCCTCTGCCACCTCCCCCCAGATCTGCGCAAAGTTGTGCCAATGGCTGCCTGGGGCACAGTGGGCAGGCGGTTCATGGCTTGGCAGCCTTCCCCCCAAGAACGCCCAGTGCCGAGGCAAAGCAAGGCTGAAGGCGTCGACTTTATGTTTCTTGGGGTTCCAGCATTCCCTCAGATGGGGCACATGGTTCTGAGAGGCAGTGTCGATGGTATCCCTCCAAGATACGAAGGCGGCTCCATCTAGAAAGCTCATGCGCTTCCAAGTGCTGCGGAGCTCAACACACTCTTCCGCCTTTGCCAAGAGGCAGACAAAAAGCCGCTGGTGACTCTCGTACTCATCATCCACGATGGCCACTATGGACTCTGCGCCTAAGGCCAAAGCCAGCTTTGCCTCGATCTCTTTCTTCAGCCTGGAGATTCGCCAGAGATCGCCCTCAACCTTCAAGTCGGCCCAAATGCAGGCGCCGACTTGAACCCCATCTGCCTCCCAAGATGCCCAGCGCCGGTCCCACTGAAGCTTTCCACGCTCTGCCGGCGGCTCAGTGCCCAGCTGGCCAGCTTGTGATTTTGGAACCCCAGGCTCGGGCTCAGGAGCCCCCAGAGAAGGTCTGAGAACAGGCGTCGCGGGCGTAGCGGCACCAGCATTCTTTGGCTGCGCCTTTGGCCGTGCTCCCGCAAACGTGCTTCCAGGATTTGGCTTTGCAGGCAGAGCTGCGACATGGGGAGCAGGGGTGACCGGAACGGTGACTGGCACCTGGCTTTGTGGAAGAGCTGGTGTCAACGGCCGGGTACTTCGCTCGGCGAAATAGGAAGGTTGCATGTGGCCCGCGCTAGGACACTGCACGAGTCACGAGGCCAAAGAAAGTAAGTATCACATGTGGGCTCCTTTTGTCATGTGTTTTCTGAGGTGGCATGAATACAAAGCCACGATGAAAAACAAATAACAGAAGCGTGTTCAGCTGCAGACTGACTTTGCAGAATGGATGCTCAACGGCTGCGGGACTCACTCGCATTCCAGAGCCCAAGTCAACTGGAGCGACTTACGACCTTTTAGAAACTTAGAACCCTTCTCCAGTGGACCAACCGCTTGCCTGGAATGGCTGGGAGGGGTGCCCTGAGTTTCCAAAGTTCTTTGGCGTTTTCCAAAGGCACTGGCATGAGCGCCTAGAAAGAGACCCCTTGTTTTTGGAAAGCTCTTGCAGAGGGATGGTACCTTCAGCTGCGTGCAAGAGAGCTCGATCTCCTCAATGCCCTTGGTGATTTCCTGTACCAGGCTTCAGAACATGGGAGCTCTTCCCATGGAAAGCTGCAAAGGTACCCCATATGATCCCAAGGCTGCAAAACAGGCGAAGAAAAACTTAGAAAAGGCTTGTCTTGGGCACCAGTGATTGTCCAGCTCACTACAGCTAGAGCGCGCCTCAATTCGTCCCTTGAGCTTGTCCTGCAGCTGCGCAATTTCAATGAAGGCTGGACTCTAAGCATCCCAAAAGCGGGCCATCTACACAAGTGCACTCACACCGCTTTCACTACAAGATGTTCCGGCCTTCAACAGCTCCAACTCCTTCTCTCGCTCTTCCCGCTGCTTCTTTCGTTCCAAATCGATTTTCTTCTCGCGCACGATGCCAGTCTGAACCTGCTGAAGACAAGGCCAATGTATGCTACGTCAAGGCTTGCGCACCTCCAAATCTCAAAACTCCATACATCCCCACTGACTCTACGGTCTACAGGGCTGGGCTTTCAGCTCTCTGCGCTGTCCTTGACTCTCTGAAAGTCCTCAGTACGGATTCCTTTTGCGCCCTCTGGCGTCAGCAACCTGATTTCAGGGTCTGCGCCGGGACTTTGCTGTGATTCTTGAAGCTCTAGGGTGGTTATGAGAGTTTCTCAAAATTAGGGGTACCTGTTTGGGGGTCCCATAATAAGGAATACAGTATTTTGGGGTTTATATAAAGGTTCCCATTATTTTGGGAAACTATCTTATCTATTGTGTATCTATGAAGGTGGTCCTGGCGCTGCGCAATGAGTCCCGCAGCGTTACACGGGCTCTATGGGATTGTAATGGTGTCTGGCCGTCTTAAGGCTTTTTAAAGAATTCAGAACCACAGGGATGTGGTAGTTTCCTTAAATAAGGCAACCCCAACATAGACCCCAGAATATTATAGTCTTTATTATAGGGACCCCCAAAATGGTACCCCTGATTTTTGGAAACCCCCATGTAGAAGATTTCTGTCCCTTTTCAAGGGGCCGGGCCAGAGGAAATGCCGGGATTTGATTTCTATCTCCTCTGGTCCCATGAACTGCCTGGGCCTGCCGAATCCGCTAGAATACGGAGTCTACAGAAACGACATCACAGAAAACTATGCTCTACAGTAGGCTCTTATCATTGTTTCAAGACCGTGTCCATCCGCCCAGGCGTTGCTGAGTATGCGGCCGGAAAATCGCATCCACCTGGTTTGCGGACCAGGCAGCATCAAGGAGACGAGAATTCTCAAGGTTGAAGACACAAATACTGGCAGAAGTAACTCTAATACGCGAGAATGAGACCGTACGCAGATCTCAAGTTCTACCCATGAAGCCCCTCACAAATACCACGAGCACCCCAAAAACTGCCATACTTAGCGGCCAATATGGAAGTTTCCAGAATAAGGCGTCGTGACTCCTCACAACGGGCTCCAGCATCTATGACCATCATGAACACATAAACCAATCCTTGCCATCATCATTGTTTATGCTAACTCTTCCCATCACTGCTCGCACAAAAAAATCTCCTGCGCTGAAAGTTGCATGTTGACTTCGACTTGCCAATGCAAAGCCCCAAGGTTTCGGACTCAGCTTCCAACTGCTGCATCGGGAAGGGAGCACTTGAGTTCCACCTGCACGTACCTGCACAAAGCAAAGGCTGCCTCAAAACCTGGATGCTACTAGTCCTAAGTTCCAAAACCCTACATCCTAAACCCCAAGCTAAATCCTAAACCCTTTTTGTTGCAGGAGGCTTCTTGCACCGCCCCACGCCCTAAACCCCAAACCTCAAACCCTAAATCCTAAACCCTAAACCCCAAACCTGACACCCGAAACCCCAAACCCCAAACCCTAAACCCCTAAGCTAAGCTGGTTCAGGGCACTTTTTCAACTCCTTCTTCTCGAGAAAGCCATCCTGGAAGCTCCACACAAGCAGGCTTCTGAAACCATGACCCGACTTGGAGGGCCAGGGGGACTTAGTACTAATGGAAAAGAAAATGGAAACTGCTATAGATTAGATAAGGTTTAGGGTGTAGGATTTAGGGTCGGGTAAGTAGCTTAATATTGGTGATAACTCGGGTTATCATATGGGTTATCGGTCTTGTAAGTATACTTGCCAACTCCCCTTTACCCTCCAAGTAAGCCCCTCCCCTAATATTAACCCCGCCTCCACCCCCTAATATTGGATACTTCTGTTATGGTATATCACAACATATCGGGAAGATTTCATATTGAAGAAGGATTGATTAATATTATGTAGAAAGCCCTATATAACCCCTACATAACCCTATATAATCCCTAAATGGCCCCTATAAAAACCGTATATACCCCTATGTAACCCATAGTGCTTGCGGGCAGATGGCGGCTACAAGGTGGTATAGCTAGTAAGTTCTACCGCGCTTGTGAATACCATGGCTAATCGTACCATTCCTACGTTCGCGCTCTCATTGCCCAGGGTAAACATCTTCTATTATGCCAGCCCCCTCCGTACCAATGAAACTCCCTCCGCCTAAAAGAGCCCAACATTTCCCACACTCCCACGAGAGCCCTACTTTTGGGAAACCCTTAACAAACCCTAAACCCTATATAACCCCTACCTACATATCCCCTATATATCCCCCCATATATCCCACTATATATCCCCCTATATACTATATCTATTTATCCCCCATATATCCTCTTTAAAGGGACATTCGCAAGACGCTGCTTTTTTTTTGCGTCAGGGCGAGGTGACGGCGGCTACGAGGTCTCGGCTCCGTCGGCTCGAGCGCTTCAAGCCTCAGGTCCTGGGAGAAACAGAAACTTACTGGTCCTTAGTAGGGAATAGTAAGGGAATATAAGGAATATAAGGAATATATAGGGAATAATACAGGAATATATCACAATGAGAAATTTTATTAGGGATTATATAGGTATAACTCATATAGGGAGCATTTTCCATCAGTCCCGACTGAGAACCAGTAGAGAAGAGCATGGCCGCAGGGATGGTTGTCCCTCGATGTTACCAGGTTTAGGGTTTGGGGTTTAGGAACATCATAAACCACAACACCAGCATGGATGATGAAAGCATGAAGAAAGAGAAGAAAATCAGAAAAGGCGAAAAGGTGGAGCGAGCATGCATGCAGACAAGAAGAGTGGTCACACCAAACTTACTGGCGTAGTAGGGAATAAGGGAATACAATCCCTACATAGACATGATCCCTTTAGAATATGTTCCCTTTTGTTCCCTTATGCCCGCAAACAACCAAAACAAAGATTATTAGCCCACCTCTCTGCTGTCCGTCATGCTGCTGCCGCTGCGGATCTGTCGGCCTACTACAGTGATGTGTCGACAAACAAACGTGTGGGAAAAAGAAAAAAACAGTATGGTTTAGGAGGACCCCCCCACCCTGTAATAGTGGTATAAGAGGAATATACGAGGACCTTAATATACTCCTTATTAGTCCTTATAGCCACTATTACTGGGTGGGGGGTCCACCATAAGTATGGTACTACACGCGATATGAAGCTGCGGACGACCCCTGGGAGGCTGTCGATTCAACTTTATGACCTGGAACAGTTCAACAGATGAGCTGCGTCCAATAAACTGACCTTGTACTGGACAAATTCAATCCCAAACTGATTCACCCAGTCCCCTAACTCTAAGCGATGGCTTCCGTCAGCCTGCTTTTGGAATGCTGCAATCATCTCACGCAGCTCCTGCCAGTGCCGAAAACAGGCCAATCAGAACTCCACAACCACTTGGCGGGTCAGCAGGACTTAGTAAGTATACTTATAACCCCTATAACCCATGTAAGTAACAACCCCAATTATCACCAAGATTGACGGACCTGCTTACTAAGTCCCACACCTTCCAAGCAGGCTTAGGGCTTAGGAACTAGGGGGGCTCTAGGCTAGGGACTGGAGAATTTGTGAAACTCCCGCGCGACCTTTGTGGGGCCCAAGCAGAAAATGAACACGATGATTCTATATGAACCATAGTCTACTAGTATCCCCATGAATAACCTTTCTGGTAGTCCCCTATAGAATCCCCTATACAGCCCCCTTTGAGGAGTTTAAAATATGGCTCAGATAACGTACCACTTTGAGGTCATCTGCAGGAGATTCCTACCAACCTCTTTTGGGCATCCTTATTTCTATGTGGCTGTTGCCCCCACATGTTCATCATCTTCATCCTTTGTTGCTTGAAGTGGGAAAATGCAAAGATGGACCACACTCTAGAATTCCAACCCCAATACCAGGACCCTGGGACCCTGGGGATACATGAGCTATTCCCCCGTAAAATACTCCCGTACATTTGATAATCCCCCTATATGAGCTATAGTCTAAACTCCTAGGAACCCTGCTAATACTCCCCTATAATATTTCCTGTACAACCCCGTTATGGAGTTAAAACTACAATACCTACATATAGTACCCCTGAAAGGAGCTTGGACTCTAGCTCACATGGGGATGACAAGGTGGTTTTAGGGGTCTGACAGACTCCGTAATGATAACCTTTCACAATCCTGGTTTCCCCCCTAGTTATCCTTAAATCACCCTATTTAAGGGAAACCAGAACAGGGCATCCATGATCCCTATATAGCCCCCAATATATACCCTATAATCTTACCCAAACCACCCAAAACCGGCCTTCTCTGCATCATCCTTGCGCTTTTCCAATTCCTGACTGGCCTTCTGCAACTTTGGCAGCTCCTGGAGGCCACATTCATGAGTTTAAGGTTTAGGGAACAAACATGGGTTCCTCTTCAACGCCCATGCTGCCCTGCTAGATTCCCCTTCATTCTCGGCGGAATTAAGGGGCAAGGAGGGGGAGGGTGGGGTGGGGCCCTGAAATGTGGGGACTTCTGAAAAAAGGTGGTGGCCTTTGGAATTTGGGGAGGTCTGAGGATTACAGTGTAGGGTTTTAAGGTTTTGGGATTAGGGTTTAGTGTTTAGGGCAGTTTTTGCGGATTGTAAAGGTATTGGAGGGGTCCATGTTAGAAACTTTACAGGGGTGGCTTGAAAAATCCCCTTTTTTTGAAGCGCACCTAAGGACTTACCGATGCTTGGGTGGGAGTGTGAAAATACATCCCCAAAATAGTCTCCATAATGTCCATGTCCCTCTTCCCAAGCATGCATAAGATGATGGCAATGCAGTAATCGCTGCAAGACAGAGATGATCGCTTGGTAAGGAAAAGGAAGAAGGAAAAAAGGAGAACCTCAACGGTCCAGGTGCATGCGTTGGCTATAATTAGTAGTTCCAGCTATCATGTACACCCGGCTTCTGACTGAGCTGCGTCCTCGTCTATGCTGTCCATGGTCGTTTTCATCTCGTCCTGGGCTTTGTTCTAACAGATATCTGCGACACAGCCACCATAACGGGCTAACTGACAATCGTTGGGAGTTCTTGGCACCAGTATAGTGACCGCTGGCGATGACAAAAGCAACGAGAGCCATCAAACCCTCCGTTCAGTCCGATGGAAGGACCAAAAAAACGCCTTGAGCCCTTTTGCATCTCTCTATGCTTTCCGTTTCCCTGGCTATCACTTCTGCTACTTCTGTTACTCTTGTTGCTGGGGAGTAGCGCTCCCAGGCTTTATTCTCATTACTGCATTGGTGCTATCAAAGCGAGGCGCCAGTATGGGTTGCCTGTCACCCAGTAGGAAGCAACGGCCCACACCCCGGTAGAGCTTGGCATCCTCAGGTGTGGAAGTAACTGTCCTTGGCTGCATAGATGTCCAAGGTCGGAAATGTGGCACATGTGTTTTTTTTTGGGGGGGGAGCGGGTCTCTAGGAGCCCGCGAGGGTGTAATTACTCGATATACCGGCAAACCATACCAGGGGCCATGGTTTTCATCTGGCAGGCAAAAGACTGTACCAAAAACACATCAGGGCATGAATGAGTTTCCCTAAATAGAGGTACGCCAATTTGAACCCATGGTACCCCTAATCTTGGGAAACCGCCAGATGCACGTCGGTACTACTCCAGTCCCTACCTAGCTCACTCCGAATGAATCTTGGCGGCTGCTGGGTGAGCTCCAGTCGGACGCGCTGCCGCTGCTTTTGGGCAAAGGATGCCTTTTTCCCAGTCTTAGGGTTTAGGGTTCAAGGGTTTACGGGTTTAGGGGTTTAGGGTTCAGGGGTTTAGGGTTCAGGGGTTTAGGGTTCAGGGGTTTAGGGTTTAGGGTGGGTTTGCGGTGGGGATTGAAGAGGAATTGGTTCAGGGTAGAACGATGACTGTTGTATGTAATTCTCCTCTTTGGGGACGGGGTGCAAGATTGATGACTTACACTTGTCCCTCCCAATACACTCCAAGCTAACATGGAAACCCATATAGCCATATAGTCCCCTTTTAGAAGGACTGTGGTCTTTATAGGGCACTATTTGGTACTTTCCCAAAATAGGGGAACCCAAATATAAACCCCAAAATACCATAATCCTTATTATGGGGAACCCCAAAGAGGTACCCCTAATTTTGGGAATCCACCATTTGGGTTTCCCTGTTAGTTTCCGGGCACAGATGCAAGCACCCCAAGAACCTCCAGGAGGGTGCTGGGAATTAGGGCAATCCCAGACCCCCAAAAAAAATCTAAAAATTAGATCCCTTAGAGCCATAGGGGAAATTATATAAGGATTATATAGGGGTTATAATGGGTCTATATTGGGGATCTTTTTTTTAGATCCTCCCAGGGGTCTGGGAAGGAAATGATTACCAGAATAGCTGCCAGAGCGCTTATGGCATGTGGGTAGATGTACTAGCTGATGGGCTTACCAATCATGGAGAAGCAGATGGGATAGAAAAGGGAAAATGACATGAAAGCTGGGGTTATATGGGGGTTTAGAGGCATAAACAAATTACGATTCGTGCAGCAATTACCCACGCCCCCTAAAAGGATCCAAAAAATTGGAACCCCCTAATGATCCTCCAGGCTCCCCAATATAGTAATGGAGCCATTTTGGGGGGGCGGTCCTCTTTTGGATCCTTTCAGGGGTGTGGGTAGTATAGTGCAGCAGCATGGGCAAAAGTTTCAGACTTTGCTGGTCGGCGACCTGCACTCTCGCCAGCTGCTCATTCAATCCAGAGACCTCAGCAGCTGGCGCAGTTGGCTGCATAGTCTCATAAACGATGAAGCATTAAACTCTTGATTGTTGGTATGCTTGCTTGCTTATAGTGCTCATTCGTTGCAACTCATATGATGGAACCCGTTTTGCAAAACTAGATCGTACATCCATTTCAACACCAGGCTGGGAGCACATGCCGGCAACAGGAGCTCAAGATCGTCCTGGAAACACGCAAAAAAAAGTTGAATTGAGAAATCTAAGCCGTTAGTCCTGTTTTCAGGCAATTAGTTACATCTCATGCCGGCACGTTTGACAAGGAACGGGACAAAGCAGGGTAGCAGCGTAGCAATGACTCTCAAGCTTGGCAGTGGCTCATTTAGGAGGACCCCCCACCCTGTAATGGTGGCATAATATGAACATAAGAGGACCGAGTATAATCCTTGTTATCCCGTATAGTTGCCATTACAGGGTTAGGGGTCAACTTAAACTTTTTGCTTAAACTCATGAGTGGAACACAAAGCTTTTCAAGCAATGACCCTAAAATTCTGTACCAGGCCCTCGCCAAGACCCAGGGCCCTGGCCTTTTCCTGGACTGCCATGGCCTCGTCCGCGTTGAAATCGCGGTTGGCTGAGGATCTGGCCTCGGCCCGCCTGGCATCCACTCATGTGAGTAGTGTTTTTTTGGTGGTTGAACCTAGTAAGATTATATTCCTTACACAAAATACTATACCCAAAAGGAGGATATGATCTTACTCTATATTGGGTACCATAGTATCCCCAAATTCAATACTACTCATGTGCTGATACTGGGCATGCACTCCACGGTTTAGGGTCTGGCCTCCACTGTGCATTAGGGATATAGGTACCCATTGGGGTTATATTGGGATAATGGAAAATAAAATGGAAACTACTATAATGGGTTATATAGGGTTTATATGGGGATATTATGGGGTCATATCGGGAGATTGGAAGATAAAATGGAAACTAGCTAGGGTTTAGGGTTTGGGATTTTAGGGTTTAGGGCCGTTTAGGGCTTAAGCTACATGGCATCGCGGGGGTCATCAAGATTATGGTACCCTGGACATTAGGGTACGTATTATACAGGGGGCCCAAAAACCCCTCTAGGATACGTGGTTCATCCCGGAAAACCAACTCAACCCTAATCCCTAAACCGCCAAACTACCCGCATCCCTGAACCCTAAGCCCGAATCCCTGAACCCCCCCCAAGCCCGTAAGCCCCAAACCCTAAACCCCAAACCCTAACCCTAAACCCTTAAACCCTGAACCCCAAGCCACCCCAATTCGAAACCCTGGCACGCCTCTGCTGTTGGCCCGCCAACTTCTCGGCGCAGGAGTCCCGGAGCTTAATGAGGTCCGAGTCCCCAGGCCTTGCTTGCAAATATCGTTAATATTAGGGTTTAGGGATTTAGGGTTTAGGGATTTAGGGATTCTTAGTGTTCTGATTACTATTCTTATTGTTATGTTATTCTTATTGTTGTTATTGTTATTGTCGTTATTCATCTTATTGTTATTGTTATTGTTGTCATTATTGTTATTGTTCTTATTATTGCTATTGATTTTCAATGTCGATTCATGGGACCCAAAACTTCTTTGTCAGCGAGTACTCTTGATACTAAAAACCCTGCATGACTCTAGTGTACTACACTACCGTGACTGCCAAGGTATAAGGTACTTAGGGCGATGCAGGGTTTTTGGTATCCAACATACAACTGACATTAATACATCTATGTAAGTTGCATGGCAAGCGCTCCTTTTGCTGGTGACTGCGGGGCAGTGTTTAGCAGCGGAACTATCTGAGTTCTAGTCTAAATCTGCTGCACAAAGTAAAGGCGCAACTACAGCGCCGGTAAGACAAGCATCAGGGCGGACACCTGAGTTTCCTACTGTTGCGGGACACACCAGCGTTATCAGACTGAAAGCGATCTTCCAGTATGGCTCAGGCTCCCGACCCCCACGTCTTGTCTCTGGAACTAGCAAGACTCTTTATGGCCTGCATTGTCTATAAAACGTTGTCAGCACAGCATCACTTGGAGCTTTTCGGGAAAAGATCTGCAAAGTCGGCCGCGGTGATGGGCATGCAGAGCTCGCCGAAGCAGTTGGGCATCTTGCGTAAGCGCGACGCACCAGTGTCCTGAATCAGCATGTCATGGTACTTGGTCATGTGCAACTGGTAGAGGCACGCACGAGCACTTGAAGGCGGCATCCAGCTTCGCTTCCAGGCGCGCTCCTTCTCAATCACCTTCTCCATGGCTCCTGGCTTGGGGACCTGCATCTTTCCAGCCAACATCTTCTGCAGCCAGAGCGCTTGCAGGCCGTGTGTCAAGATGTTGTTGAAGGTGGCAACTTCACAACCAATGAAAGCCACATCTGGCACCTGTGGCGGGATGATGTTCCTGTACAGGTAGAGCCCGTCCTTTTGGATGTTGAGCTTTTCCTGGATTACCTTGTCGAAGATGTCGTAGTTCTTGGTAAAACCTGTCCCGTAGATCACGATGTCGGCTTCCAGCTCCTTGCCATCAGTCAGGATGACCCCGGTCTCAGTGAATTTGTCAATAGATCCTGAGACGGGCTGAATCTTCCCGGCTGCCAGCATGTCGCGGAATTCGTAATCCAAAATCTGCCCACCAGTGAAAAGATCGACGTCAATGCCCTCGTCTGGAATCATGTCCCTGGGGATCTTGAACTGGCTACGGAACATCGTCTCCACGATGCGCCACCAGAGCCATTTGACGGGTGCGCATGTACCATGAAGCCATTGTGCTGCCGGGCCTTCGGTGTGGTGGGGGTGCACGAACCAATGCCCAAAACGGTTGTACGTGGCATACTTGAAGGGCACCCAATCCAGCAGGTAGCGTGGAACAGGCCAGTGCCAGGATCTGCAAACCAGGGTGCTGGAGACCCCTGCCTTGGCTGCGGAAACCGCGTTGTCAACCGCGGATTTACCGCCACCAACGACGACCACCTTCTTGCCTGCGGCCACACTACGGTCCGTGAAGGTGCAAGAGTGCAAAATCTGGCCCTTAAACTTGTCAGAACCACGGGCAACAGGAATGTGCGGTGGCCAGCCATACATGCCCGTTGCAACGACCAAATAGTCAAAGGTCTTGGTGGAGCGCTCCTTGTCCTTCTCATAGACTACGGTCCAGCCGCGCTTCCCAGCACCTGCCGGATTCAACTCTAGGACAAACGTCTTAAACTGCGTAATGTCGTACAACCCAAAAGTCTTGGCATACAGCTCGATGTACTCCTGAACCTCCGGCCCCGTGGGGAACAGGTCGCACTTGAAGTCGGCAGGATAGGGGAAGTCGGGGAACTCAAAGAGCTCCTTCGGGACCTGCAGGCCGAAGTCTGCGTAGTTCTTCTGCCAAACCCCTCCCACGTTCTCAGACTTCTCAAAGATGGTACAAGAGATTCCAATCTCCATCAGCCGACGTGCTGTCTGAAGGCCAGCGACTCCTGCACCAATGATGGCCACGTTTTTCACGTGCCCGAAATCCGTCGCCACCTGCGGAAGGGTGACTTTGGCAATTCTGTCTGCGAGCGTCTTCCCTGCCGCCGTGCTGGGGTGCAGGAGCTCATGGATGCCATTGACGAACTCATCATGATCTAGGATGCCATCATGATTCTCGTCAATCATCTGGAAAACTCGTCCCAGGATGGAGTGATTGTCAAGGCACCCCAGTTGGTCAGGGAATTCGCGAGACAGGGATTTGGCTGCGGCGTACCATGGGGTTATGGGCAAAACACCGGAGACTGCGTGTTGGAGAAAAATCTCTGCCAACACTTGCTTCTCCGTGCCGTGGTACTTGGACTGCACAACGGGAGCTTCCTCGTAGATGTTAAACCCCATGGCTCGGTTGGTCAGCTCGCACCTGTCAGACCTGGCCTTTTAGCTGGGCCTTGAGCCCAATGTGTTTGATAGCCAAGTAGGGAAGGGCTTTGATGATGAAGATAGCCCTCTTTGGGAGTACAAACCACACATTTGGCATCCGCCCTGGCAAGGCGACCTGCATGGCTAGATCTCATGTGCTTTTCCTATAAGCTCTTGAGGGGAAATCTCTGAAATTCCAGTCCACCTTGAAAGTTTAGGGTCAAGGGTTCCGCTACACTGCCAGCATCTTCCGGAAAACTGAGCTGCGAACGCCTGCCTGAGCCCCTCTTCGCAGAAGTCGATTCCATTTCGGCAGAGGTCCAGGTGCAGAGAGGCCCTGGCGGCACGCCAGTAGGCCTGTCCACAACTTGGGTTTTTTCTTTTCAAAATAATAAGGGCTACTATTTTGGGGGTCCCCATAATTCGGGTTATTGTATTTTTGGGCGTTGTGCTGGATTCTTTCAAACAGGAACATGTTTTAAGCTTTCTGGGCCACCCCAAAAAAGTCTGTCTAGGCCTAAGAACTCTGGCCGGCTAGCATACACTCGAGACGCAGAGCCTTGACTAGCTAAGCACGAACGAGCTGGATCCCAGAGATCACTTGGAAACCTCTATACTTGGGACATATGCGAAACACCCTGAAACCGTTAAGTCCTCAGAAACAGGACCTCTTTTGAGCATGTGGTAGTTTCCCAAAACAAGGGGGCCCAAATATAGACCCTAATATACTATAGTCCTTATTAGCATTGGGACCCGCAAAGAGGTACCCCTTATTCCGGGAAACCCCCGGGCTCCTGTGGACTCACCCATAATTGAGAGTCACAATAATACAGTTATATAGTATATTATAGGCTGTTATAATATACTATAGGTAAATTATGGTTCTGGCATATTATGATATAGTCGTTACGCCCCATGGGGTCCGTACACAAACTGCTGTTGTTTTACAAGTCCTGCACTTCCAGTGCGTGTTAAACTCGCAACAAATGTAGTCGTTGCTGTAACAGGACTTGAAAGAAGCGTCCATGATATTGAGAGACTTCCAAGATGGGGAGCCTCTTGAGAATCCATGACAAGATCTTGGACATGCCCATATTGCGGTAGAACGCTCCAGACTTGGCACGGTGCCTTGATGTTCTTTGGATCTCTGTCTATTGCTTTCCGGCAGTCGTCGACCTGCAAGCAAAACAAGTCGCTGGCAGCTCCGAACGTGCGCGTCTGCAAGTCGGACATGCGCAGCAAGACAAATTCGCCGTGCCACGCGGAAGCTGTATGGGACAAGGAACTGCTTCGACGAACTGTCTGAGCAGCAGCCGCACATGGGCACGATTGCCTGCATGCATGTACGTAGATAACCGCATGCAGTGACGTTGAATTGCCGGCGGGGACGCTGGAATTGACTGCTCCTTCGCTAGAGCCGCCATAAGGATAAGCGGCAGAAGGAGCTGCTCTTGCCATCCTCTCTAGCTTCTCAAGAACTGATCAGCTAGTGACCAATCAAAATCTACCTGCCCTCTTCTTGACTCGGAGCTTCCCTGCTGTTCTCTACCAAGCCCCCTCAGAAGTCTCCCTGGCAAGATTCTTTGACCAACTTTGCAGCACGAGCGGCTAAACAGCTGCGCATTCAGCTTCGGATCACTGCAGCGCACCTCTAAACCTTAGGTCGTCATGGATCGCATGACACGAAGCAGTATGCAAGGCATGCAAGGCTAATGTCCAGAAAGTAAGGTTAGGAGCTTTTGCCCTCTCACATAGCTTACATTGGCTTACATCCAGCATGAAGGGGAGACAGGGGCTGCTCCAAGCTGCTTCGAAAAAACAAAGCAAAGTCTCTCCCTCAACCGTGGGCAGATCTAGCGCCTAGGAGTTTACAGACACTGCGGCTTGAGTCTGTAGCTTTGACGGGGAAGCCCCCTGTAGCAAGGGTGCAGTCATGGGAGGCAACAACAACGGCTACCCTCTCCAGAGGCTTAACAGACCGGCAGAAGCAATCTCCTCCCCTAATACGAAAACCATCCCCCCAAGATGAGATCTTAAACCCGTGGGCCTAAAAGTCCTGAAGGCCACCTTTGCAAAGGGCAAGATTACCTTGTGAACGGGCCACCTGATGATGAATTAGGGGGGTTCGGGTTGGGGATTATGAAAGGAAAGCTACGCATCCTCTTGGTTCTTACTACGAGTATGTGTACATTTTGGGGGCAAGATGTCATCTAAGATGTGTCTGTCTTTTTATTTGACGTGGTCATTGTTTTTGTGTAGGTTTTGAATGGGTTGCAAGTAATATTAGTAAGATTATCAGTGGGTTATTAGATTTAAGTGACTTCAGTTTGTTTTCGTTAGGTTCCGATTGGTGTTTGTTCGGTCTTACACTTAAATAGATTTCACTTAGTTCAATTGGTTTTAGAGGGATGTTCATTCATCTTATCTTGGCTTGAATCAGCTCTGAACTAGATTTCAACTGTCTGTACTTAGACTAAAAGGGCTTTACAAGGGCGTTAGACGTGGCCTTATCTAATTCTTTCAGTCTTACCACCCTGCTACTAAAAAATGTTCGGTGCCTGGGGGGCGCGGAGGGGGACATCGTCTAATGTAAGAAAGAAGCGTTTACGTATGTCACATTGCTATCCATCCATATGAAACTCCCATATCACGGACATGGCCTAACATCCCATGACAGCACATCCTGCTCGGGCATCTTGTATCTGGCTCATGAATGGGGTTCAGGTCAGCACATGGTCTTAAAAGCCGGGGCAGGCCTTTTCCATGTAGAACCGGAATTTGCGTGCAAAGTGATCTTTCTTCAGATGCATGCGTTGAAACAGGCCATGCCAAGATGGGCATCTCACGCATGTTGCTGCTGTGCTGGAGTTCGCTTTGTGCGACCCCCTGCCATCACAGCTCCATCTCATGGCCACTGCCTGCTTGGCAATGATGCACACGCCAAGGAGTTCTATTAGGCCTCTGGCTCGCCCTGCCCTCGGCTTCCACCTTGCAGCGAGTTCTCGCAAAGTCCCCTGTTCGGAGGTGCTCGTGTGAGGTCCAGAAGGTCCCAAAGGTCACCGGGAGGAACCGCGAGGTCCTCCGGAGATTGCGAGCTCATGCGTCTGCATATTCGTCTTTGGCTGGCCTTGCTTGCTCAGCTTGGTCTCAAGCTCACCCCACTGCCGATGACACAGAGACTTTGCACGGCCTCTGTCTTTCCCCACTTCTTCGCAGAAATGAATAATAGTGATCCTGAAGTGATCCTGAAAGCCATTCAGGCAGAAGAACCTCTGCGAACGCTGGTGTGCTTGAGCAATTGGCAACACGTGCGTCATCAATACTGCCAAGCATGTGTCCGATTGGTGATGCCAGCGGCCCAGGCCGGCATGTGCAGACCAAACGCCTTGTAGTCCTAGTTCTGACATTCATGGCATGTAGACAAGAACAGCTTGCAATTTAAGGCTTGGAATTTTGGCAAGGCAAGGAGCAAGCCACACCTCTCATCTGTGCTGAAGGAAGCTTACAGCTAAGCCCCGGCTATATCATGACTACGACACGATAGGACGACATAGCAAACACCCCACCAGCAATACCAGTCCTCTATCCTTCTGAACGTATCGTCAGTGACCCTGCATGCCAGTATTGGCCGAGCAAAATACGTGCTCCCAAAATACCGACAGGAAAAACAAAGCTCTTCCCGGGAGCCACTTTCGTTGCAAAAACTGCACATCCCCCACAACCACCAACCCAGAGAACAGCCCCAAGCTGTTCCGCATCCTGGGCGACATAGCGCAGAACACGCTCCAACGTGTCCTGCTAGCAATGGCTTTAAATAATGTGTTCTTTTGGGTGGGTCTTCTGGTTGATGAGGCAGAAAGCGAACAAAATTGCTTTTTGAAGGTGGGCATCATTACGTGCATTAATAATTCCCTGTCTTGGATGTGCAGCACAGACCCCGCCACCAACAAATGATAGTTTCTCCAAATAAGGGGACCCCAATATATAGACCCCAAAATCCCATAATCATCTATAACCCTTACTGTATGGACCCCTTCAAGAAGGTACCCCTAATGTTGGCAAACCCCATCTTTCCTACTTTTCACGACTGCGTTGAGACCACTGCCGTACCCTTGAAAGATCGCACTTGGGCCTTATATGATATGAAACATAGTCTAAACTTCTAGTATCCGTAGTTCCTATATAACCCCCTATATATAACCACCTTTAAGGAGTTTAGGTTATGGCTCACATGTCCTGGTCATAGAACTGTGCAAAGACTGTCGCAGAGTCATTTGTGTAGAAATTCGCCCGCTGCGCTGCCAGCTCACCTAAACTTCCCTCACACACTCAAACACATCATGCCTCATCTCCCTTATGGTTTTGGGATTCCTGGGCTCTTTAGCTCCCCTTATTCTATTGATATAGACTATCCCTAGCTCCTTAGCTCCCCCAAAAAAGGTATGGGTAGTCATCATTAGCTACTTCGGGCCAACTTATCGTATATTATGCTACGGCCACGGATACACATGAGGATAAGAGTAAGGAACATATGGGCTGTTCTCAAAACTATGAGCCCCTTTTGGCTATAGTTGATACTACGGCACCTAATATTTAGGGGTACCTAGAAGGGGCCTTAACTTTGGGAACTACCCTTTTTGAGTCACGGACTGAGGCCGGAGCAACCCTATAAACCTCTATATAATCCAGTATCCATGTCATTGTCCATTTTCTTTTCCATTTGATTCTTCATCGATGGGGGGCAATATCCATTGTAAAGTAAGTTCCAGTAACTGGCGTGGCCCTTGGAGGGGAAGTAAGTGTCTGCAAGGCGTGCTGCACCTTGGAGAGATAGGCCAAAGACTGCGTGCAACATCTCCTTAGCAAAGATTTCTCATAAGCATTAGCTACCTAGGCTTATTCGATCACAACAATTGCAACAGCAGTGATAATTCTGTTTGTGGGTAGTTGTCAGCATTTGGGTCACCTAGTTACCTAGTTTGACCGATTATGAAAGTATAGCCAGCTTTTCAAAAAGAAATCCAAGTTCTTGACGACCCGCATGAGGTCTGAGCCTTGTGCGCCTTTTGTGTTGAATACCTCCTACTTGGGCTGCAACCCAAAGAAGAAAGCGAAAAGCAATGAGCTCACTAGATTGGTGGACCATCCACCGTGGCCCCTGACAGCCACCCAGTTTGGGCCTTCACACCCCGTCAACCTGAAACGCTTACAAGAGAAGCACCAACAATATGTCAACCAAGCAAGACGATTGCTGAAAGTTGCCGAGACTCGAAAACCTGCCAGTTGACCGCAGGTCGGTCAGATGTCAAGAGCCCCACAAAATCAAGCCGTTGCCAAATGAAGCTGCACCCGTGGCTCAAGTACAGGCTTTGAGGGATCCAATGGTCCTCTTTCAACATAACGGGCGTGGGCAACGCCTGAGATGCAAAGGTGCGAAAGGCCCGGATTTGATCTGCTAAGGGACTTTTCTGGCTCACGTCCTCCCAGCCATGTCTATGAACCTCAGGGCAATTTTTACTCAGTTGCAAGCACTTGTCCACAAAGGCCGACAGGAAGCGCTCCAGCGGATCTCGCACAAAGACCGCGAGTTTCCATTCTCGCCTCTTCCAGTAGACCTGAGAAAGTAAGCCGCGTAGATGACGGTTCAGGAGGACGCCTGGCTCCAGCACATCTTCATAAGTCGCGTTCTGTCCCGAGAGGCGACAGTTCAGAAGAAAGAATTGCAGAAGGCCCACCTTGGGTATGGAACAGAGCCCGTATCGATGCTGGTGATTCAGGTGTAGCCGATAGGTGAACACTGACCACTCCCTGCGGAAATAATCTTGGGTGGCCGATCGGGCCACAAAGGCCGCGCGGTTTGGCCGCAGCTGCCAGCTAGAGGGATTCAGGTACCAACTCGGGAAAGGTGCTCCACCTTTCAAGCTCTCAAGAAGCAAAATCAACTGATGTGCCCGTGCTGCATCCTCCCGGCGGCTCATGCGGAGTCGTATGCGACCTCGCCCTGGAGGCCTTAAGCTCGCTCGAGATGCGTCGTGCCATGCATCTGGCGCAAGCTTTTTAAGGAGAACGTGCCATCCCACCGAAACCTCACTCCGTTTTGCGCAGCGACTTGGAACACAAGTTCCCATAAGTTGCAGACCTGAGGCTCCCTCAGAAACAAGTTGAGCCTGCCGCCCTCCACCCAAAAACCCTGCCAGCCAGCTTCCAGGTATTCCACTTGAAGATAGCTCCTGAGCCCACCTCCGACTAGCCTCGAGGCCATGCGAATACAAAACATAGCGTGCTCCGAGGCCAATGCACTGGTGGAACTGCTCCTGCCAGCCATCTCTGAAGACAGAATGGCCGCTGGCCATGTTATAAGCGGGATCCGCATCAAACACGGCCAGGCATCGCATATCCTGCTCCGTGTCAGCTTTAGCACGCACACCGCTTCTTTCCACACGCAGCTCGCTTGAAATAAAACGCCTGAGCTGCGACGCTGCACCCTCCCGTGATTTCGCAGCACCAGAACACATCAGAAAGCCCAATCTGGCAAGGATCCAACCAAGCAACATGCCTGAACCCACTCGGGAAGCAATTGTGCACCATGCATCTTCGTTTCGCTGCAGGAGACAACTACCAATTGCACAAACAGATCATATGAGACTTGGGCCTGCAAACGTCAATAAGATCAGTTCGGCCCACCCAAATACAGACTATCAAAAGAATCAGACGAACAAATCTTCGAGAGCTCAAAAGTAGGGGGATGGAGGGGCGCGAACCCCTATGTACACTTCAAGTAGATAACCTGACAATGTGATTTCTCCTTTTGTGTTACCCCCGGTTTCCTGGGCTACCGGACCACTGGTGAAGAACTCTAGAGCTTCTCTGGCTGCGGACTTGGTGTTGTCCTGGGGCTGGGACTTGCAGTTCTCTTCAGGAGGATAGCACGCGGGGTGGCCGGGGGCATGCCATGTGGTTCCTATCTCAAATTGATAGTTGCGTAAGGTAGGCTGTGGCAACAGATTTGCAAGTCCATGCGCCACAGCTCCCACAAAATTCGCTTCTCGCGGGCAACTGATCCGTGCTCAAATTCTCCTTCAGGCGCTCATTGCCTTTCTTCTTGAAAGCTTCAGCTTTCTGGCCTCAGTTAGTTTTCTGCTTTCAGGGAGAGGAGCCCTTGAGAATCTAAAATCACTCCTAGCGAGGTCTGCTGCCTGGTGCTTCGGGAAAGAAAGAATGGAACTCTATAGTAGTCCCCATGAAACGCCCAGTGACACAATAGTTTCCCCTTCTTATCCGTTGTACCGCATTATTGGGGATTTCATAAGGATTGCAGTAGAAGCATTATTCACGCATTCACTGCACCAGGGGTTCTAGGCTGCGCACAAAGCTCCAACATTGCGCTGGGATCTTCTGCTGCCTCCCCGCTGTCCACCTGAGCGGGCTTTACAATCACTTGACGCTACTTCTACTACGAAGACTACCACCAAAACAGAAACTAATACCCATACGAATACTGATAGAAATACTCAGGCTAATGCTATATTGATACTAGTGTCCTTAGACAGGGTGCTGAACTCATACTAGGCACGCCCAAGGAACCCACGTCTACCCTCAAAGAAAACGGGTCTGCGCACTGAACCAAAGTCATTTTCGGGATGTGTTTTGGGGGCTAAATTATCAGGATGATATTAAAAGTTAATCCGGAAGGTTTCGGAAAGCAACGATTGAATTCTATCTTTTTTTGCTTGAATCTGCACTCAGGCCAAAGCGTGTGAAGCATCAGCATATGCGTAAAGGTGCTCTCCAAGTTACCCAACCGCAGAAAACAAGCCTATAGCAGAACAATGGAATGAAATGCACCTCCTTGCGACCCCAAACGCAACCCCACCTGTGCATCTGCGAAATCCTCAACCCATACCCCCGCCCCTGAATCCCTGGACCCCTAAACCTGCCACTTCACGCACCCCCCAGCTCCCTACCTCTAATTGCTGCTGGGCTTGCGCTGCCTTGCCTAAACCCCTACAGTAACCCTATTAAGCGCAAGCCCTAAACAACCGCAACCCAAACATTAAACCCTTAAACCCCAAATCCTTAACCCTTAAACCACTGAAGCCTAAACCCCAAAGTACTTTTTCTGAACCCAGCACTCATTCCTCTAAGGCGCGCCGCAACATCAGAAGCAAGCGCTACCCTGAATACCGAAGCTAGACCCTAAACACCCTGAACCCCAATTCCAGCCCCCTCAAACCCCTGATCCTAAAGTCCTACACCCCGAATCCTAAACTCTAAACCCCAAATCCTAAACCTTACCAACCCTAAACCCTAAACCCTAAACCTTAGATCCTAATAAACCCTAAATCCTAAACCCTAAACCCTAAAACCCTAAACCTTAGATCCTAATAAACCCTAAATCCTAAATCCTAAACCCTAAAACCCTAAAACCCTAAACCTTAGATCCTAATAAACCCTAAATCCTAAACCCTAAACCCTAATACCCTAAACTTTAGATCCTAATAAACCCTAAATCCTAAACCCTAAACCCTAAAACCCTAAACCTTAGATCCTAATAAACCCTAAATCCTAAACCCTAAACCCTAAAACCCTAAACCTTAGATCCTAATCAACCCTAAATC